CCCCCCCCCCAGCCCCTGCGGCCCCCCACCGCACCCCCCAGCCGGGCGCAGCTGCGGCTGACAGCTGGGTCCCACCGCCCAGACGCTCGCGCCACTGCTTGGGGGTTTTTCCATGCCAAGGAGGGCAGAGGGCCAGAGCCCCTCGGCCGCATTCCTCTGGCCGCAGCCCCTGGCCCTGGCAGAGCCGCGCTGGCGGGGCAGGATGCGTCCCCATCCCCTCCCCTGCTCCACAATCGGGCAGGGGGACTGGGGGAAGGAAGAGCTGAGGCTGCAGGACCAAACGCCAGCTGCCTGCTAAGGCGCTGCCGTGCCGGGGCCGTGGGCACGGCTCCCTGGAAAGCGGGGGCAGCCGCCGAGCGTGCCTGGCGGAAGGAAGCGCGGCGAAGCCCTTCCAGGAAGACCCCGTGCCGCTGGGCCGGGGCGCAGCGTCGCCTCCTGCCCCGCAGCCGCTTCCCCAAGGCAGCTGGGCAGGGAGGGGGTGGCAGTGCCCCGGCGCCCCGCCGCCCCCAGAGGAAGCCGGCGCAGCTCTCCCTGCGCTGCCGGAGGATGCGTGACGCAGGCAGAGCCGAGCAAAGCATGAATGAGAGGAGTGGTTTCCTGCCCCCCCTCCGCCCCCCAGGTGCTGGCGGTTCCTCCTGCACAGCCCCAGCTTCCTGAATCACCGACCCGGGAGGAACCTGCAGTGGGCAGGGAGGCGCGGAGCCGCTTCCCGCAGCCAGCGCCACCCGCCCTCCGCGGCACGCCCCGGCTGCCAGGCCCCCGGCCTGCCTGGCAGAGACTCGAGGGGAAAACCAGGCGGCACGGTGCAGCCACCAGCCCCGGTTGGGCCACCAGACCGTAGCCCACGCACCACTCCTCTGCCGTGCCTGGCCGGGAGGGACCAGGGCCGCCTGCCCGATGGGAGCCCCCAAAGATGCAGGGGGTACCCCAAGCCCCCCTGCTCTGGGCAGCTCCGGGGGTTCCCTGGCCCTGCTGCTCCCCAGTGCATCCCACCTCGCCGCCCACCCCGGCGGGGAGCTGCACAGGCCCCCCAGAAACGGCTGCAGCCCCGAGGCTGGGATGCACACCGGGACCCCCGGGGGCAGGGTGGCAGAGGGCGGCCCCCCCCCCCCC